CTGCTGTGATACAATTGTATTATAATAATAATAATAATAATAATAATAATAATAATAATAATAATAATAATAATAATAATAATAATAATAATAATTTTTTACTATTGAAAAATGGGGAGAAGGAAGCATGAGGTACAGCATGAGAGAGGAAAGGTCTTATCTTAATCCGCCTCCAGACGAGTAGTGGGTTCCTAATTGGTTTACTATTGGTTTGCTAAGCGTACACACTGTGCGTGCATGTGAAATTAAGCAAAAATTAGTCAGGAAAAAGGGAAAACAGCTGACGAGCGGCAATTCAAGCTGCTGCTCCAGATCAGCTGGGCTTCAGAAGCTGGAATAAAGATAAGTATAGCACAGGGGTGGGTTGGCGGGCCCTCTTTTAAGTAAAACAGAGAACTGGTTTGCTTTCTGTTTGGAGCCCACACTATCATTTCAAGGGAACCTGTCCAAACCAGTAGGAACCCACTCTGCTCCAGACTGGCACATTCCTGTTGGGGCCCAAGGCCAATTGGTAGAGCCATATCTTCAGGTCCTTATGGAAGATCAGGTGAATGGGTGTGTCCTCACCTAGGGAGGATACACAGAAGAAAAGGCTCTTCACCTGGACTCTACCAGCCAAAATTCCTTGACCAATAGGGCTCTGCATCCTGCCCTTCCTGCTGACACAAGTAAGGCGGGGAAATTCTATTCCTTGGAATATTTAAATTTCAATCTCATAATTCCAAATTCCAATTAAAATGTAGAATGTGGATTCAAAGCATCAAGTTTTGATTGGATGTCGGTATGTTGAATATAAAAATATAAAAATTATATAAGATGCAAATTATTGAAAATATATAATAACCCAACTTTCAGATACTGTAAAATACCTATTTTTTATATTTCTGGTATCTTAGGGCAAATCAGAAATTATTGCTTTCTGTAAATATTTCTCCTAACAAATAGAAGCTACAGCAATAGTAGTAGTAGTCATTAATAAAAAAATTTGATTCTTTCTTTTACATAGATTTGGTTCCAGAACCAACGAGCAAAGTGGAGGAAACATGAACGATTTAGCAATTTTGCAGGCCTGCAGCCTCAGACCAAAGCTGGCTTTATTTCAGTCCCAAAGCCAAAGGTAAGTGTGGGTTTCTCGATTCAATTGTAATTTTTTTAAAAAGCCGTTCTATGAAATGAAACATTCTCCAAATGTACTAATCAATAATACCAAGTAAAGATAGCCGAGGTGGCGCAGTGGTTAAATGCAGCACTGCAGGCTACTTCAGCTGACTGCAGTTCTGCAGTTCGGCTGTTCAAATCTCACTGGCTCAGGG